TATTATACTACTCTCTCTTCTTTGTCTTTATATACCACTGTGTGCCTGTTGCTTGTTGCACTCTTTTTTTAGTAATTTTTTTCTCAGAGATCTTATCCTTGATTATTATTCCTCATTTTGCAGAACCAAAGTCAGTTCATCGACCATAGACGTTCTTCTTCTGTTTTTGGATATAATTTAGTGACTGTAGAGTGTAGAAACACTGGTTTCTTTCTGTTTGTCTTCTTCTCCATCTAAAGAAGCTCACAAGTTCCGAAAACGAAGAAAAGACTCTTGATTTGAGGTGGGATTTGTTTATTTTGGGCCATGGCAGCTTGCTGTGATCTTGAAGCAGATATTAATGGAGAGGAGACTTTCATGCTAAACAGGGTAAATTCTGTTCTCTACCAGTTTGTTACAAAGTTCTCTCTTTCTTTAGAGGGTAAAAAGGAACACCTTTTTTTTAGTGTTTTCTAGCTTTCTGCCAAAATGCCAATGTTGTTTGTGTTTTCATTCTCTTCAGTGCAACAAATTCATAGGTTTGGCCATGCTTTTTCATTTGTGTGACTGCAGTTTTTTGCAGTGTGGGAAATGTGGGATAACTTTGTCACACACTCTTGTAAATTTCTTTCCTGTATATCCCAGTTGTGTTGCTTTGCATTTAATTTTCCACCTAAACTGCAATGGTGTGGGCCTCGAGTGTGTAGTGCTTTCTGTTTGTTTTCTTTCTCCTTCCCCTTCTCATTTATTGCTGCTGTTTCATTCACCACTTTTGTGCCACTGAGGGTTGCTTTCATAATCATGGCAATGGATTACTGTTCATTTCCCTTCTTTGCTGTTTATTACCCTATCACTTGATTTAATACCGTCCTTGTTCAAATCGAGTGACCTCAGTTGTAAAAGAGAGTGTTATTGTTCATGTTACAGTTCGTGGCTTTATCGTCTGATTCCTCTTTTTGTCCGGTGATTGCAGAAAATTATATGTTCATACTCAGGGAGGTTAAGAAAATTACTTGGTAAATCCGCAGGTGCCAACAGGAACAAAGTGATCTTCCACGACTTTCCTGGAGGGGCAGAGAATTTTGACCTTATAGCAAGGTTTTGTTATAACAATGGAGAAATTGATGTGAATCCTGAAAACATTTCCTTGCTATACTCTGCTGCTGAATTCAATGGAGATGAACGATTCCATATCAGGAAACTGTAATCTATTAGAGAAAACGAAGAAATGCATCGAAGAGATCGGGTATTGGACTTGGCCTGATCTTTTAGTTGCTTTGAAGCATTGCCATGATTTGCAGCAGGTTGCCACTTCTTCAGGTATACTTGAGAAATGCTTGGATTCCATCGTTGGGAGGCTGGCTTTCGCTAGTGAAGCAAGTCCTTGTGCGTCTACTTCGTCTCCGGATAGCTCGGGGTTTCGGCTTTCCTGCGATACTAGAAGTACCGAGAGTTTGAAGAACAGCTTCTCTCGAGCGAATTGGTGGTTCGACGACCTTTCTGTTTTGAGTCCAGATTGATTGAAATGCTGATAAAAACTATGGTCTCTCGAAAGTACAATCACATGATCATCGGTCGGTTCCTCTTCTATTACCAGAAGTCAAAGTTCTTCACCGCCTCATCTGATGAGAAATGCAAAGTTTTTGAAGTTGTGATCGATATGCTTTACACTCTGGATCCGAGTTGCGTTTCGTGCAAGAGTTTGTTTGGGATTCTTCGAGTGGTGCCGGGTTTGAACATAAGCAAAAGTAGCAGGAAAAAGTTGGAGAGTATGATAGGTTCTCAGATGGATCAAGTAACTTTAGACAACCTGCTAATCCCATCTCCGTACGGAACAAGTTATCTGTATGATGTGAACCTTATTCTTAGGTTTCTGAAAGCATTCTTGTGCGGAAGAGGCTGCATATCATCTCCGACACGAATGAAGAAGGTTGCTAGCTTGATGGATATGTATATTGCGGAAGTAGCTCCTGATCCTTTCCTTAGATCGTCGAAGTTTCTAGCTTTGGTGGCGGCCTTGCCGGATTCCGCCAGGGACTGTTGGGACGAATTATACCATGCCATGAATGTTTATCTGGAGGTAGTACTTTGAAACATTTTAGTATGAAAGTTACTCCATAATATCTGGTATGCATTCGGATTAAACATGGTTTCAATAGGTGCATGCAGGGTTGCCTGAAGAAGAAAAACTAAAGATATGTTGTGCACTGAACTACGAGAAGCTCTCTTCCGATGCTTGCATACATCTTTCTCGGAATGCGAATTTTCAGTCGAAAACCGCGGTTCAAGCTCTCATTTCTCAGCAATTGAAACTCAAGAACTTGCTGCAGGGCACCAAGAACACTAAACTCGACATGGATTCCCCTTGTAAATTCGGTGAAACCCGAGGCAAGGCAAAGATAGATGAAGGCAGTGAAGTAATTGTTCTTTATTCTGGGAAACTAGACATATCGGCCGACAACGAGAACCTGAGAACACATTTACAAGGGATGCAATGGAGGGTGATTGAATTGGAGAAACTCTGCATGAAAATGCAGAACCAGATGGCTAAACTCATGAAATCCAAGGTATCAACCCATAGCACTGCAAGATCCTTGCCCAGGCTCTGTTCATGAAAAACCAAAATTCAGCATTAATGCCTGTATCTCTTGATTATATTCCTTCGTCTTTGTATAGCGTTGATGTATGATTGCCGTTACTTTTTTCTTTTCTGCATATATTAAAGATAATCCATTGGAGAATGAGCTATTGCTTTGTACAGCAATTGAAAAGGAGAGAACTAGCTGTTGTTTCACAAACAAAGTTTCTTCTTCTTTTTATCTCCGATGCCGGTTTTACAATACGAACTATGTCGTCTTCGAAATTCGAACCTGGATTCTCTTGTTGAGAGGGTAAAGTGTTCTCGAGTTTGCTTGCGTTGTAGTACCTCCGAGGATGGGCCTTTCTCCACAGGCAAATGGTAATGCAAGCAAGTTGGCATGTCTTTTTAGGGCATTATTGGTAATGAATGTACCTTAATTCTTAACCTTAAAAATGGTTCCAAAACCCTTTCTTTCACCTCTACTTTGTCGTTAAACAAGGTGGTTTATTTTTATAGACTCTTAGTCAACTAACATAATTAAAAAAATCACAAATCTCCTTAGATTCCAAAAAAAAATGTCAGTTTAGCACTTGACTTGATTGCCCCACTTCAGTTTGATGAGGGTGGACCATGCGATTTGACAGTACATGCATGCACTACCACGCACAGAAAAAAAAAAGTTAAAAACGAATGACGATGAGATCGATAAGGGTACACCAATGGCACTCAACTTTGTTGAAATGTTTTTTATGATCACTAAGTTTTAAAAGATATAAAATAATTATTAAATTTATCAAAATATTATAAATTGGTCATTGTATGTTATAAAGTAATGATAAATTTTGATAAATTTAAGGATCATTTCACAACAATTTCATAAGTTTAAGGATCGTTTAAACATAATTTAATTATACACTATTAATAATTAAGTACCAACATATATTTGAGTCGAGCGTTAAAAAATCTAGTTGAACAGGCAGTGAATGAACTATAAGAATTTAGAACCACATATTCGATGTGGGACTGAGTGGCATTTTCAACACAACTGACCGACACCGCCATGAAGTAATAGTTCGTCAACTTTGATTAGGGTTTGTGCATATTCAACTTCAATAGCAACACATTGTATTCAATACTTAAGTCAAAACAGTCATCTTTGGAAGGAAAAAAAAAGTTAATTTATAATGTGGGTGGGAAGCATGAGAATGTGAAGGCAGAGAGGGTTATTTTGCTTAAACGCCACTCTTCTTCAACTTTCAAGGCTGAGAGGGACGACGGTGGGTGTTGATTAGCAGTTTAGCAACGTTGTTCGTTGGATTGATTGCCACGCAAAAGTGCACAAAAGACGTTTATTGGAAGCATCAAAGTTCAGTTCATAAATGCTTTATTAATTTCCTTTATGTATATTATTATACCCTTTATTCACATCCTTCGGAATAAGTCATTTACCTCTCTGTTTAGGCCTAAGCCATAGTACATCTGGCAACTCGCACTACTACAACCAACAAGACCCCACTGCTTTTTGGCACAATCCACAAATAATAAGTACAGTACACCCCTCTATAACACCGAAACAATACTGCACCCCAAGACCTCTACTAAACCAATCTGAAACAGCAACCAAACTAAGAGCCAACAACAAATAACACAGATTTTAGTATGCAAATATGAGACCCAAGCGTCTGCATCAGGCCAAGTATTTTCAAGCTTCCAGCAAACTTCAAAAGCCACCACTAATAAAAAGGAAACGACCCCAAGAGACATTGAGGTTAAGACCGAAAGAAGGAACTTCACGTATACGCCAAAAACTAAAACCACACTGCAAACGTATCCCATCAAAAATCAACCTGCCAATAGCTAAAACAAACTAACAAAAGACGCAGTACACAAAAACAATCAATTCCCCCCAAACCCATCTAGAACTGATCGTATCGGAAAAACAGGAATAACCAACAACCAATCGTAAAACTCAATAATCAGCAGCAGGGTCAAACTTCAACAGACTCACACTTCGGTTAATGCTAGATTTCGCAAGCTTGTTGATGACTTGATTATATTTTTAATATTAGAGGTTAATTTGTAAGTGAGTAATTAATTAACCTGAACTGTGATTAGATATACGTTTAGTCCTTGATTGATTGACTTAGTCTCTCATTGACTAATAAATTAATGGCAAAAAGAATCAATACTTTGACTGTTATAATACTAATATAATGATATTGATATGATAATTTATAATAGTTTAGAACGTAACAAATAATATAACAAATGAATTAAATTGATCACTCAAGTATGATATTAATTTATTAATTCGGTTGAATCTAAATACAAATTGATTTTAAAACAGTGGAAGCTTCAAAGCTTTTTCTTCATCCCAAAGGCCGCACTGCAGCCAGAGTCCCAGTACCAATCCCAGGCCCAGCCACGTTTCCTTTCCTGCCTTCAAGTAATCGCTGCTTTCGGAGGTAAATCAATACCCCGTTCACTTTCTTTTGCTTTGTTTTATTTGATTTTGATTTTTAGGGCATAATAACAGAAATCTTAATTTGGGTATTGGAAATCTCTGGTTTTCTAGTTGTCACCTTGCGTACGAGATTGTTAAACTAGCTTGCATGTTTTTAAATAGTTGCATCTTTCAGCTCCGTGAATGATTCATGATTGACTTGAGTGAGTTAACAGTATTCATCGATAGAAGAAGAACAATTTGCTTTGGGTGGTTTCTGGGCATATTTAACTGTTAGTCCAAATCTGTGACTGGCTTGAGTGTCTCAAATTTAAACCTATAAATTTTGTAGGTGAAAATAAAGGATTGTACCTGAGATTTTGTACTCGCAAGCTATTTGAATTCGATTCTAAAATAACTTGAATTTTATTTTTCAATATCAAGTCTTGCTTGAGTAGCTTGAGCTATCAAACGATATGAATTTGAGCATCTTAATTGATTCCCAATTTGAGTGACCCCAAGCCTAATCGAGCTTTTTTTTTAATAATTTATCTTTAGTAATTATATTTTTAATTTACTACTTTATTGTAATTCAGAACCCTAAAACTTTTCCTTTTAGTCTCCTCTCACGCACTCCTCTCCTTTCCCTTCATCCCAAAATCTGCAGAGGGACAAAATCTGTGGTAGGTTCACCTGATTCCAAGTTTTAGATGAAAGCCCAAAAACTGAGAAGTCGAACAAAGTGAACATACTCCAAACTTATATTTTCTAATTCACTTGAGGAATTAGTTATTGTGAAAACGAGATGAACAACGTCACCTATCATCCATACAGGTTCAATGGAATCTGATCTTATCACCTTGAGCATTTAGTCTTTTCCAATAGGTATTTAGCAATATTAGTTATTGATTTGTGTATGTCTATTAGTTTCTTAGGTTTCCTATTTGTTTTTTTAGGTAATATGTTTTACAATTTTAGATTCACTGTTTGAGTAGAATTGAGATTTCAAGTTGTTGTTGTAGAGTATGAAAATTGCGCCTAATAGATTCATGTTCAAATTGTTCAATTTTATTTAAGTCAAGCTTTAGCTCAGAAAATGATACTCGATCAAGCTTGAACCGAGTTTCAAGCTATGAATTTTGGGTCAAGATCTGCTTGATCTTCACATTATTCAGGCTTGGTTTGGGCTGTCTGGCTCTGTTACAGCCCTAAGTGAAATGCAGAGCATTTTATTTGTCTGAGAATGCATACCCTGCCATCATCTAAACATATGGTAGAGCTTGCAGAATTACAGTTATATTATAGTAAAGTAGTGTAATGAACTTATAATGCATCTTTTTCTGCTATAACATTGATGACACATGAATAATTAATCCATGTTGGTTTGGATTACTTGCACATGAGATATACATATGCCACACGTTTCACCTATTAATGCTAAAGTGAGTGAAATTGAATCAGTCAGCTACCTTCATTACAAGGTTTGCCTATCAATGTTTAAGCAAAATGTAAAATTATTGATGATATTTACGCTAAACTATTTGAGGGGGAAAAAGAAGAGAATGAACTGCTGCCATAGAAAAATGGATTATCTTATGCCAAATGCTGATGCACTATTGGTAAGTTTATGTTCTGATTGTTAGGTAAGCCATGACTTCTGTAATTGTTTCCTTTTCTTCCTAGTTTAAAAAAGAAAAAAATTAAAGTGGAATTCTTTTTTGGGGAAGTTTAAGGGCAAGTGTTTGATAATTTACTTAAATAAAGGTTGACAAATTTGATATTCAACAAGCATATCCCTGTGGAACAGAAATAAAAAAAAATGTTTCTATTACTTGAAAGGTAAACTCTTGTTTTTGTTTAGAAACTTAGTGAAAAAATTAACTGCACCTTCATTGAGTTTTGATTTTAGTTTTGTAATATTTGTATTCACAATTGAATGTTGTGGAAAATGTGTGGCAGATGGGGGAGCTGGCGGTGGACAAACACGTTCAGTACATCTTATCTGTTGAAAAAGTAAGCTTTAAACTCATTGAACTTTTATTTACAATTTCAAAATAATTTTTCCTATGTTTTATTTTAAGTTAATGTGAAATTTATTACTTTGGGGTTGTTTATTGTTAGGAAAAAGGATAGTTTTGAATCAGTGGTGATGGACCATCTTAGAATGAATGGTGCATATTGGGGATTAACAACGTTAGACCTTCTGGGGAAGCTTGATTCTGTTAATGCTGATGAAGTTATTTCATGGATCATGCAATGCCAACATGAATCTGGTATATCCTAAAGCTTATTTTTTTGTATTGGTTAATTATTGTTCTTAGTTAATAGATGGAAATCATAATTAGAAAGGAGGTTGATGATACTTTCTCGTACAGGTGGTTTTTCTGGCAATATTGGGCACGACCCACATATTTTGTATACTCTTAGTGCTGTGCAAGTGCTTTCCCTTTTCAACAAGCTAGATGTTCTTGACATTGATAAGGTTACTAGTTGTATCCTATCATATAATTTTCTTTTGATTAATTACTTGCTCTTCATTGGGGAGTTTTAGTTATTATGTTATAATTATCCATTTTTGGAGATGTTTTGATGAAGTTATTGACATTGATAAAGTTGCGACTTCTGTTATATCATATATATATATATATATATGAAATTATTTTCTCTTCATTGGAGAGTTATATTATGATGTTATGGTATCCATTTTTCAGAATTGTTTTAAAATGATTTGCATGGCTTTGATTTATTATGCTGTTCCTAGTTTTATTGACTGGTCGGAGTTAGCTGTGTAAGTGTGAACTGTGAACTGTCTTCAGGCACTTCTTGTTTTGCTTAAATCTGTAAGTTAGATATTACCGGGCTGCAAAACGAAGATGGATCCTTTTCAGGTGACATGTGGGGTGAGGTGGATACACGGTATAGGTTCTTCCTGGATTGTATACTTTTATATCTGTCAAAATAAATTTCTGATGTATTATTTTTAATGTAAATCCTCTTGTACCAAATCGATTTTCTCGGTTCAGGTTCTCTTATATTGCCATCTGTTGCCTTTCAATATTACGTTGTCTGGATAAAATCAATGTCGAGAAGGCCGTTAGCTATATTCTGAGTTGCAAAAACCTGGACGGTGGCTTTGGATGTACACCTGGTGGCGAGTCTCATGCAGGGCAAAGTATGTTAATCTCATTGTCCATGTGGACTGTACATTTTTAACTTTCTCGTAATGAAGATTGCTTATTTTCATGGTTTTAGATTCATTTACCAATGAGCTTAAAATTAAAGCACTCTTAATAAGAATGATAATCTTGTCGGAAAAATGTATTGACTTTCATTGTGCATAATGACTGTAGTTTTCTGTTGTGTGGGTGCTCTTGCTATAACGGGATCTCTACATCATGTTGATAAGGACCTTCTCGGCTGGTGGTTATGCGAGCGACAAGTCAAATCTGGAGGTCTTAACGGCCGTCCCGAGAAACTCCCTGATGTGGGTATTTCGTTGAAGTTTAAACAGATTCTTCGTCTCGTAGTAATATTCTTTTCGCCTTTTCTCACCGATACGTCGGTGAATCCTCTTATAGGTTTGCTACTCGTGGTGGGTTCTTTCTAGCTTGATCATGATTGACAGGGTTCACTGGATAGACAAGGAAAAGCTGGTGAAGTTCATCTTGGACTGCCAGGATCTGGAAAATGGTGGAATTTCAGATAGGCCCGATGATGCTGTCGATGTCTTCCATACATATTTCGGAGTTGCTGGTATCCAGTGTTGTTCTGCTCATCGTTTTTCATTTATTTATTTTACGAATTCGACATTCGCAGTTTTGTTTACGATGCATGCTATCGTTGTAGGACTTTCACTTCTCGAGTATCCAGGATTGAAAGACATTGATCCAGCTTACGCATTACCCGTCGACGTCGTAAATAGAATATTCTTCAGCAGGTAATCGGTGTTTGCTTTCTTCCTCAGCAAGTTTGAAAATCTTTGATTCCTCTGCATTTTTCATCTTCGGTGCAAACTTTTGGATTGTTGAATACAACTATTTTCTCTTAACCACAAACATCTTATTAGTCTCTCATTCTGTAGCGTTAATCTACAGTTCTGTTTGGCTTAATTTTCAGTTTAACCCCTGAACTCTACCTGTTTTCCCCTTTTGTACTTCCAACTCTTTTTAGTACCCTTAATTACTTAAATTATCATTCAAATCAATAAAATTTAACACACTGATGTAGTTGTATTGTATTTTATTTTATTCTTTTTGTGGAACTTGTGTCCTAACTGCAGCATGTCGAATTGTGTGGGCTTCATGGAATAACAAATGTTGTTCTCCCCATTTTTCAAATTAAATTTGGAAACTTGAATTACATTACTCACTTCCCATTTTATTTAATAAATTACTATTGTATTAAGTGTGACAAATTTATTAAACAACACATTTTCTTTTTCATTTATGTAAATAGAGTCTCGTGATTTTATGTTTTTGCTGACGTGACAGTGTTTTGCTGACATGTCTAGACACGTATCACCCGTCAATTTTTTTTCTTAATTAAAGAAAACCAACAGGTGATATGTGTCTAGACATTGGGTTTTGATTTTGTTTATTTTATAGGATTTTTTAATAATATAAAATGATTATAGTATAAGTTTTTTAATAATCTATAGGATAATATATTTATAATTTTTTTATTATCGATAATGAATATATTATATATATATAATTACTCGAATTTAAGATACTAAAAATAATAACATTACTCTTACCGAAATTAATTTACTTTCTTTAGAGTAGTGGCAAACATGTGCAAACATCACTTTTCACAGTCAACCAATATCACAGGACAGAAACGGCCGACAGAGAGCGTGTTAGTCCTACAGGACCCTCTGCCCTTCGACGCTGCAATCCCAACGCCCAACTGGAACCCAACCTAACACTTCTCTCATCTCCTAACACGGCATAAGTTTACATATATTTATATATATAATGCGACATAATATCAACGTCAAATAGGGTGGAATAGGCGTTATTATTTAAAAAAGAAATCCTAAAAAATATTTATTGGAATAGTAACCCCAAACAATATTAATTAAAAAAATATCCTCCAAACTGCATACGTATGACTATTTCGTGATCTACAAAACGTGTGTAAAGGTCTCACGTTCTAGGGCGCGAGTCTTCAACGAAAAACACTTTTCAGAGAATATAATTTAATATTTCAATAAATATCCTCACGATCTACAAAATATGATGTACCTAAGATATTAAAACATTTCGACAATTTATTGCGCGTGGTATTTAACGTACCTCAAATTCTACTGAATGCGAGTTATATAGATTTTCAGCCCAAATCACAAGTGTTTATAAGCATGTTTGAGGTGTATTTTAGGGTAGTTAATTAATTTTTTTTCAAAATTTATAAGATTAAAGACGTAGTATTAGAATTTATCTTTCAGTTGAGGTCAATATCGACACATATGAGATATTGTAAGCAGATTAAAAATCGCATGGAAAATGGTTCCAAAGCTTCTTTTGTGCATGAAGAAAAAACTAAAATGGTTTGATAGACATATTCGAGAGGTATTTTCGGGTAGTTAATATGAAAATTTTAATAATTTATAAGATTAGAGGCTTAGTATTGTAACTTATCTTTGAATTGAGCGTAACATCGACACATACGAGATATTGTTAGTGGGGTAAAAATCGTGCTCAAAATGGTTTCAAAACTTGGTTTTCTACGTGAAGAAGTTAACATGATTTGATAGGCATGTTCTAAGAGTATTTTCGGAAGTTAATCTGAAAATTTTCGTAATTTATAAGATTAGAGGCATAGTATTGATACTTATGTTTCAATTGAGGCTAGTATCGACATATACGAGACATTCTAAGTGGTGTAAAAATCGCGTTCAAAATGGTTCGAAACCAAAAGAAATTGAAAACTAACGAATATATTTTATTAACTACAAAAATATTACATAATTTCAGCTCTCCGGTTCTTTCTCTATGTTTAACTAAATCTTCATCATAGTAAATCATAGTCATATAATTAAAATAACATAACAATAAATTAATACCATAAATCAAAATACATAAATTTCAATATTAGAAAATATAATTACATAATTATGATACATAAATTGAAAACGAAACAATATTTTCCGATGGGCTTGATCCTAGTTTTGATGGAAAAAAGTTTTCTGAATCTTCCATGTACGAGGGAAGCCTTAGGTTCTCGAGTGGAGATGTGTCATTTGTCAGATAAACGTCACCATAAGAGGGTGCTACCTGAAAAGGATGCCTTTTTAGAAGTTTCTCAAGTGGGTTAGATGGAACAAAAGTTTCCCGAATTTCATGTACAAGGGGTGGAGGTGTGTCATTTGTCATATCAGCGTAACAAGTGATAAGAAGATGATGCCACCAGAATAGGATGTCTTTTTAGAAACAATAAGTTTCTCGATAAGGTCAGGTTACTCATGTTGAAGAAGTTTATAAGACCCACGAGTTTGATGGATAGTGAATTAGGAATAAAAACATAATTTAGAAACCATGCTCATGATTGCAACAGTAGCCTCGTCCCTTCAATGACTTGTTTTTCATATCTACGACCAATTTGATGGAAGAAGATGATGCCACCAGAAAAGGATGATTTTTTTATAAAATATAAGTTTCTCGAGAAGGCCATGTTACTCGTGTTGAAGAGGTTGAAGAGATCGACGGGTTTGATGAAAAGTGAATCTGGCATAAAAACAGAATTTGAAAATCATGTCTCTGACTGCAGCAGCAGTAAACACCCTCCAATGACATATTTGTTTGGATTAACGACCTATTTGATGGAAGAAGATGACACCACCAAAAGATGATACCTTTTTAGAAATGACAAGTTTTTCGAGAAGGATATGTTACTCATATTGAAGAAAGTTTATATGAAATGAGGTTTTGATAAAACAAGAAGTTTCTCGATAATATCATGTTTGATGGAAGAAATGTGAAAGATTTACCCATGACCTTCAAGGGGTAACGTCTTTACAAAAGGCTTCATCTTCAGGTGACATAACTTATAGTATCAATATTGACATAAGGATTTCTAAGTTTCATGCCAAGTCGTGCCACCAAAAGAGGAAACCCCTTGTAAATAGAGACTCAACTTTATAATTTAGAATGCTACTAGAAGAGAATGACTAATATAGGCAAGGACCCCGCGCTATGTAAAACACATTTTCCATTGATATTCCTGACCTGGTAGGGACCTCACATTTTATAAAACGCGAGGTCGTCAGAGATTCCTGACGTGGTAGCTCATCTATCATACACATTTGATTTGACATGTTAAAGGCCTCACATTCTGTAAGGAGCGAGATTTGAAAAAAATCTTAAATATGAACGATAACCATGTTGGATGGATAGCTTTGTAAAAAAAACTAATAGCAAGATTTTCTGTAACTATGTTCCATTACATAACTTATTTTTACACTTACTTCAATGTCAAGATAAAAAAATAGATGAATTATATGATTTAATTTCAATAGAACTTAAAAAATCTATAACACGATAGATGTCTTCATTACAAACGAAAGTTCTCGTTGATGAGCCCGACCCTAAAGCACATTACATATTGACATTATCAAATGTAAGCGACCTTTAAAAGATGTTTAGGGCTTATGCATGTGTCGGTGATATAAACATCAAGTTGACTGTAAAATTTTACAAAAAACATCTTCATCAAGTAACGCGGAAGCAACTTGTTCTCACAAAATAAAGAGGATGAAGAGACAGTTCTGCTATGTTATGCCCATAAACATCGAGACAAAGAGCAAGTAATTGAGGAACTGAACTTAACATCAGACAATTCTACAGACTATGAAAAAAACATATTTCCCTTATATTCATTTCAACTAACTGGAACTTCGTATAGTTCTTTTTTTATTATGTTTAAATTTTATTTAAATAAATTTTATAAAAATATGATAGTTCCCAAAGTATTTATGCATCGAACCAAACAACTCATTATCATATTGTTAAAGGATAACTTTAAGAAATTAATAATTTAAACAAATTTTAACGTTATCATATTGGTTCCCAAAGTATTTATTCGATTTAGTTCGATGATTTAAAACATAAAGCTACATTTTTTCATATACTATTTTTTTACTACAATCGCAAACTACACAATTGTCATATTTTTCATTTCTCTCTCGAATTCTTTCACTACGTCGGAATGGAAAGTCTTCATACTTTATCCTTTTATTCTTCTTTTTCTTCTTCTTCTTCTTCTTCATTTCCATCTTCTTATTAACTTATTCAAGTTTACTCTTATGATCTCCAACTATCAACTTTATTGTCTTCTTTACCCACTTCTCTTCTCTGAAGACGAGCTTGAATCCCAATCGTCAAAGTCAGAGTCAGAAGACCCAAAAATAAAGTTTAGAACCACAATTTCCCCCAACATGTACTTGATTTTTAATAACTCAAAGACAACATGAGAAGAAAAACCAAGACTTGGGGGCCTATTTATAGAAGTCTTCACACCCCAGTAGGAACGATATTTAATAGATATCGTGTTACACAAAACGCGAGGTTCATAGGGATTCCTAACGTGACAAGATCTCGTTTTCTACCAAATGTGAATTCCTTTATTTTGTATAGAAAAAAAATCGAAACCATAAGTTAGGTACAATATTGTATCTATTGTATTTTATTTGTCTGATTAACTAAATATATTTTTGCAAGTTCGATTAACTAAAAATGGAACTGGAGTTCGATTAACTAAAAAATTACAATAAAGTTATTTCAGACATTACGTATTTTTCATTTCAAGAGAAAAACAACTAATGATGACTATGTCCATCTGTACCGCACCGTGGTGGACGATGAGCCCGACATTGATTTTTACGAATCAATTTATCTTTATCGGTATCAGCTTCACCATCATCATCATCGTTATCGCCATCTACATTATAGTACCACCATTGGCACTGAGATCGATGAAAAACTGAAGTTTATTACCAATGGTGAAAACTGAATTACCGATGGTAGAACAAAGGCAAACATGAATGACAGATAATATGGTTGAACTAGTACAAGAAGACAATAGAAAGGGACAACAACTTCGGACATGAACGAAACACATCGGTGAAAAACTTTCAACCGGAGGTAACATATTCTAAAATGATGATTGAGTCGAGTAGGTGAATACATGTGGTGACACCAATATCTAATGCTCTACTGTTGACTATGCAGGTGTTTATGTTGTTCACGATGATGAGGTTAGAGAGTGTTTTCTTCTTGTCTGGCTTGATTCCCTTCCACCTCTAGCACCACATTGCATTAAAAGATGTTGCATCGGCGGGTGATTTTGGGGATGCATATAAATTTCTTGTGCACGCTTCTTTTTAGTCAGTATATGTGGCTTCCCATATTGTTTGTACCACATCATGTAATCATTTAAAATATTGTGGTCAAAGATGAGTTTACAAATGGGACACATATTTAATATCGTCACCCAATATGACACCCATTGCGAATGATGAATCTCTTCATTAACACTTGTATTCCCTTATCGTATTACATGATACAAGTCGTCCAAGTTGGTGTTGGTAGCGGAATTGTTTAGACATAGTTAAATTACCACAACACGTGATTGGTATGATGCCACTCGACTATCTCATAGACTATCAACGGGACAATCTGTAACACCTAATATAGTCTGACCCAAAGTAGCTAACCCAAAATTATGATGTCACATGGGACCACCGAAATAGCTAACCCAAATTTTTTTAAAACAACTGTAAAACATTATAAAATAATAATTCAAGTGATATAAATAAAAACATCATAAATTTGAGTTTTACAACGCTGGGGAGCTCTCAAATCATCCAAAATTATACCATGAGTTTAAAACAAAATAAAGTTATGACTGAATGCAAATGTTTATAATAATACATGCCCTCAAATACCAATCAAACGTACTCTGAAGTCTCTGTTGAGCTAGAATATTTTATGACGATAACGCTCCACAGAAGTTCTCCTAAGAAACTATGCACATATATACATTTGAACGCTGAGCTTACGAGCTCAATGCCTCACTAATAACTGTATTATAAACATTAACTAAATGCGTATGCTAGAGGCATAAGTATGAATACTTAAGGAAGTGTTGATGTGACATTCTAAGGTAGACATCATGGTATGGCTAAGGGTTCTGTATCTCGAAGCTCACACACCCTTCCAGCATTCATAAATACCCTTGGGTATTCGGGGTGAGATCCAGAACTATATCGGAAACATAAACTCGACCAACTTACTCCGTCGAGTCTTAGGGTATATGTTCCCAACTAGCAGTTGAAGTGCATTGGCATTGACTGGGATATATCCGAACTGCACAATCATTGTATGCTAAAGTAATTCAGGTGTCTTGACTTTTCCCGAGTATCAAATAAGGCTAGTTTATATCATCCTAGTTGTTATTGTTTCTAGAAATTCTGAGTTTACTATTGTTCTCACTTGTAGTTTTATTTCATGGCTTTTTGATATTGTTGGGTCCCTCAAATCTATCCCTTAAAAACTCTTGGGTTTTTATAACCAAAATTGTTTGTGGGCACCAATAATGTCCTATGGGTATTGATACTAACCTTTGGGTATTGATACTATTGACTTGCTAAAGATTGATAGAAAAGGGCTGGTATCGATACTCCTAGTATAAAGTATCGATACTTTCCTAAGTATCGATACCGAATTTGGCTTCAATGTTTTGAAAAAAATACCTAAGTATCGATACCTCTATTGGGGAGTACCAATACTCTACCCTTGGTATTGATACTCACATGAGTACTGATACAAAAAATGGCTACTGGAATCCACTAACTAAACTCGGCATTGATACCACCCTGTGAGTATCGATATCTTACCTACAATATCGATACCCATTGTATGAGTATCGATACTTCTAGCCCAAAACCCATTTGTTTTTAGCATATAAAGAATAATATCGGTATTGCTCTTCAAGTACCAATACTCGCTCCCATAAATACCCTGATTTAGGCACAAAAAACTTCTCCAACACTCCCAAACATCCTCCTAAGGTTCCCAAATATTATTAGAGTGTTATGTCTAATAATAGGGGTCATAATAGGTCCATAAGCATATTGGAAAACATCAACTACTAAAATCTACCATGAATATGCTTTATCACTCATGCAACTAACAAACACATCTAGTTACCTACATTGTAGTAGAGATGAATTAGAAGTGAGTTACCTTGGGATTCTAAGCTACTGGAAACACCTAAAGTTTAACCAAGCACTAGCTTCTCCTTCCCTTTGACCTTGAAGATTTCTCTCCAACTTCTCTCACTAGCAAGAATCAAACACTTGAGTTACTAGTTTGAGTTAGAGGTTTCGGAGAGATTATAAACCATTTCTGAGGCTTGAAATCCTAAAAATGAGTTAGTTTACTATAGGATTCTAAACCCCCACCAAATCTACATTTTGGATACCATGACCAAACCTTGCAAGAAAGGGATTGAATTGAAGCTTGGAAAAATGGGATTAAAGTTCTTACCTTGAGGTTGCTGGGTAAGGTCTAAAATCCTATAAAGTTTGCACCATTTTCTTGGAAAGTTAGGGAGATAAAAGAGTTGAAATGGGGAAAAAAAGACAAAAGTGTGAAGAAAATGAGATGTGAGAAGGGTGCCAGGCATGAGATCACCATGTTTTTAATGAAATTCAACCTTTGCAAATATTTTTGGTATAATAGATCTCTTAGTCCTCCAAGTTTCAGTCACCAATTAATAACATCTATTTTTAACTCATGTTGGCTCAAACCAAGCCCAAATGCACTCAACCTTGGGTCATGGCTTCCTACAAGCTAATGGGTTTATTTAAACACTTTCTCGGGTTAACCTGAAACTATTAACCAAGGATTCAGGGAGTTACACAATCGACATTCAAACACCCAAATTGAGACCTATTTCAGTTAGAGTACATGATCTAATAACATCATCATTGTACGAAATTCACATGAACTACAAATTTTTTAAAACTAAGTTAGATAAACTTGAATTAAAAAATGAATTTTAAATTAAAAATGAAATTGATTACAATTATTACCTCGTTTGTCATTTTATCGATCAGCAATCTAAAATCACGTAGAGTTTTTTTTATGTGGGTGTGAGTTAGTTTACCAGTCCACCTATCATTTATATAACAAAATATAATTATTTGAAAACCCTAAAAAATGTATAATAATCTAAATATATAAATGTAGTATATTTTTAATTACCTCAAAAGTAGTGTAATTTAAAATGGGGTAGGTGTGTAGGAATCGATTGTAAAAATGTCATTCACAACCAAGTCGACGATTGCAACAACATCAGACACCCTCCAATAATTTGTTTGTTTGGGTTGACAACTTTACAAAGCTCTCAAAACAGAAACGTCAACAATGTTGATCCTCAACTCTTATATTTAGAATCATGTAAAACGTGTATATGATATAACCACATCAAATGCACTTTGTTTCAGGATTTGTCCAGCATCAAGAACCCCCAATAACTCGTAAAATATGAGCACGAACAAATCGTTGCAAAATAAAAAAAATCATAAATTAAAAAATTATCTTAAAAAATTATAATAAAATAAAATTTTAAGATTATAAATAATAAAATAAATAAACATAAATTTAAAAAATTATCTCCTTAATTATTGAGTAGCATTGGGTTAGCTGCATAAAATTATCGTCTAAAATTTAATCTTGATATTTTCTCCATCCAAATTGCGATCGTTCGGAGGAATGTCGAGCAGTTCCTCATACAAGCAGGTCTAATACCCATTGGAAATATCGGTAATAGCTATTTTGTCAACAAGCAGACCAAGATGAATGCAACATCTTCAAAGTTAATAGTTGCCTCCCCACAAGGAAAATGAAACGCATGCGTCTCCGGCATCCACTGTTCTAGCAATGTGTTTATCAGTGAAGGATGCAACTTCGTACAACCAATTATAATGTTAACGTTATCAAAATCGACTTCGTGCAAATACAGAAGAATATTGTTATGAGGTTTCGTGAAATGGTTGATATAACACGTCAATGAATGTTCATACCCCTTCAAATAAACAAATAAATATTACCTCTGGATTTATCTGCTAATAATTGAATACATGCCTTCGATCAAGCCTCAGTAATCTCGCCATAATAACCGAATAATGGATTAGATAAGAGAAAGAAAGAAACAAAGAGAGATATTTTAGGGAGTAAGGTGTGATGACTTTGGTTGAGGGGACCATATTTATAGGAGTCCTCACACCCCTTCCGAAGCGAGATTAAAAGAACCCCGTGTTCTACAATACAAGATGTCCATTGAAAAGACACGTATTCAGACCAAACTCGCACGTTGAAGGACGAGAGGTCGTGGAATCTATTTTCAATTTTCAATTTTTTAAGAACACGATAAATTATCAAAATATTTCAATAAAATATTAAATTGTATTTTCTAAAAAGTGTTTCCACGTTAGAGCGTGTTCAATAGGACACGAGACCTTTACATGCGTTTTGCAGGATGCGATATAATCCTATGTGTACAATTTGATGGGTATTTTTCCAATGAATGCCGTTTAGGATTACTATTATGATAAATGGTTTTCTTGGGTTTTTTTAAATAATAACGCCCGTGGAATACAAACGGCTTAAGAAGAATTGGTTACGTGTGAGGCTAAATCTTTGTGGTCCTGAGGAAGTATCTCACCATCTTCGCTTTCACACTCCTAACAACAACACTCATTGTTTAACAGAATCCAGTTGTAATCTCCTGTATTAATATCACGTCTTTTCTAGAATCTACACGCATTTTAATGGCCACAACTGCCACCTCCTTTCACTATTTAAACCACACTAACCATCTCCCCTTTTGCCTGTGTACTAAAAAACAGTTTCTTGCTCCCAAGAAGGAGAGACTAAATAAACACAACACCGGTCAGCTCGACAATCAACGTATGGCTGTCGCCAAGCTACTTCTCGTTTCCTTTGTTCTTGTCCTGATCCATGTAGCAGTGGCTGAGGTGGATGTGGAACCACGGGAGATTAAGGTCCATGACCAGGACCACCGTCCTGGTTGGGAGATTCCCCGAGAAGCAGAAAAGCCGGCGGCGATTGAGATCAGGGAGGCTGAAGCACCGGAGATCAGACGGCTAGGAAAGCATCATGCATCGGGTATCTCTGTGGCCGGTGGTGGCGTCATCATCGGTGGACTTGTCACCGCTGTTTTCTTAGCTGTTTTTGCCTATATTCGAGTTACGAGAAAAAACGACGGCGTTCAAGTTCAACAACATTGACCCTTTGTTTCATTTTGTAAAATTACAGGTAGAAAATAGAAAAACAAGTAGATCAAATTCTTTCAATCAAATTCTTCCAATCAAATTCTTCGTTGTTTGGAAAGTTTTCAGCTACATGATGCAATCAAGTAACAAATAAACAAGGTTTAGGGTTTCCAAAAAAAAAACAATAGAGCCCAACCCATTTGGGTGCTAATTAGCACGAAAAACACTAACTAATAATAAATATTAAATAAATAGACTTAGAAATATATTCATAAATATATAATTAAATTTATTTTTATATATTCCTGAGTATTAAAATTATAAATAAACACAATTTTTATTTTCTAGAAATAAAATAATTCAACGTAAATATAAATATTATTTTATTAATATTTAGATAAATATAAATACTTTCTAAATATGCTAATTTTTTTATTAATATAAGTTAAAAACAAGACAATATATGTTTAAGATAAATTTCAACTTTAAATAAACATACATATAAATATACTAAATTTAAATAAATAATTAATAAATAAATTTATCCGTTATCAAAATAGAACTGAATATGAGTATATTCGACCAATTTATTCATTTAATAGATAAATATAAAATTTTAATTTATATTTAATTGTTTAATTTAAAAAATAATGATATATAAATATTTCACGAATTATTTATCGAATCATCTAATTAAATGAAATAAATTTTAAAAATTAAAACGAGTCGAGTGAACACGTTATACTATTTAAAAGTATTATTTTATATATTATATTTAATATAACATCATTTAATTAAATTTATATCATAATTTTTAAAGTTTAAAAAATCAAAATGTAGTATAAATATAAGGACCTGTAAAATAAGGCCCAAGCCCAACAAATAGAATGTGTTACGTGCATATAATATCGGACAAGTGCTGGTTTAGACTTCAACCCACTGAGTTTCCCACTTTGCCTCGCAACCAATTTACCGCACCAGAAATTAAAAAATGGCTTGTTCTTGGTGGCGCGCGCCAGTGTACTTCACTGTCTCGGTTCTTCTAGCTTTCCTCGCCATCTCCACCGCCCTACGTTCACTACCCAGAGACGAATCCCTGCCGACCAAATCCGCCGTCGCCCCACTCCTTTTGGACGCCTCCACCGCTCTAAGAAAATCGGGTTTCAACATCATAGCCACCCTCCTCCAAATCACACCCGAAATCTTCATCTCCTCACCTCATTCCACCATCTTCGCCATCCCGGACTCTTCCATAGCCAACGCTTCCCACGCTTCTTGGCTCTTGAAGCATCTTTTTCAGTACCACGCCTCTCCTCTTCAGCTTCCAATGAAAGAACTCTTGAAGAAGCACAAAGGCAGTTGCTTCCCCACATTGTTCCACGGCAAGAACGTGGCTTTAACAAAGGTTGACGATAAACAAAGAATCGTCGAGATCAATCGTGTCTTGGTTTCGCATCCCGATATCTTTCTCGATGGCCCTTTGACGATTCATGGCGTTCTTGGTCCATTTACCTCGATGGATCCTCGGTATGTTAACCAGGGCTGGGATCATATTCAAGCCCCGATTTGCGATTCTAATCTTAGCTTAGTTTCGGAAGTTGTCGTTGTCGACGCCAAGAACGTCGTGGAATGGACGAATGTTATCCGTTTGTTAAGCTCGAAGGGATTCGTTTCGTTCGCGATCGGGCTGAACTCGGTTCTTGACGGGATTCTTTACGACAAAGTGAAGTTGAACTCTGTTACCGTCTTTGCTCCGCCGGAGTTTTCGTTTGTGGCGTCTGCTTCGGCTTTGCTCGAGAAAATAGTTCGATTACATATAGTGCCTCGGAAGCTCACCTACATGGAACTTGCTTCTTTACCGGCGAATGCATCGCTGAGTACTTTAGTTCCCGGTCATCTTCTCCGGGTATCCGAGGGCGTGAAAAATAAACGAGATTTGATGATCAACGAAGTTAAGATCGTTGCACCGAATCTCTTGGAATCCAAGAAGTTTGTAATCCATGGAATATCACAAGCTTTTGAATTGGACGAGCTTCCTAATATCTCCAGATGAATGAGTTTCCCTTAGCAGCCTGTATGTTTCTCTTTGATATTGTAGTCTATTGTGTGTCAACTATGGAGGATTTTTCTGATATACCAGGACCAAAATGTAATCCGTGCTACGACACAAGGATCTTAGAGGAATTTTACCATAGTGGCTGGGGTGTAAATGAACTGGTTTGAACAAATAAATTTGTCTTCCTATTCGTTTGTTTGTTTTTGTAAGGTGTTTATATTCGATTCGTTTAACTTTTACGAATATATTCATTTATGTGTTTACTAATATATCGTTTATTGTTTGCAAATCAAAGATAAATGTTAAAATTATGCCATTAATTCTTAAATTCTTTAGAGTTTTGAACTTTAAAATTTATCATGTGTTCAATATGGTCCTACCTTCTTCAATATTTTAAATGTAAAATAATAAAAGAAATAAAATTTATCATATTTTTAATATAGTCTTACATTTGTCAATATTTTAAATGTATAATAATAAAAGAAAAATAATAATTGAATAAATGAGTTTATAAACGAGCAAATAAATGAGTTTATTCGTAAACAAAATGATGTGAGCATATTTGACACACCTCGGTGTCTTGTACTGGTTTATTGATGCACCCTGCGTTAGAGCAGTCCATGAGCACGTCGAATGTGCCATTATCCACTACCCTTATCTCCAACGCCGGATCGACTTGTCCGAAACTCGCCCTTTCCGTTACACGCTACTGAGTGACTCTTCGACCTTGAAGCAACAATCCTCGAAAACCGACAGAGGGATCCAAGTCGCATCTTTGACACTTAGTTCCCAATACAGCACGTAATGACCGGGAGTCGCCTATGTGTCCGCGTAGCTTGTGTATCCAATGATGCTTCGAATTGCACGAGTTGGTTTGCGGCGTTTTTCACTGCGTTTTTTAGTTCCACTTCATCAGTCTTATAGGAATCAATGCTGAAAACAACGTTTTTCCGGCATATGAAGTTGAATTGCGGGGCATTGTTCTTGAATCCGGATACGCGGAGTATGTCTCCGACTCAATATCGATAAAGACCTGCCAACATAAAACATTTCCCTTTTCAGAACACACAGAAAACATGATGTAACGAGTCAAACATGTTTTCAAGGCCCTGCATTACCTGCATATGTTGTGACAACAAGCTCATACTCTTGTCCCAGTTCGACATCGACAAGATCGACGAGTTTTTGTTTTTGTTCGTCATTCAGGGCCGTTGATTCAGACATGGAACCGGTTAGCTCATTTTTCCTAGACACCGGCAAGAACTCAAAATACGCCATGGTGGGGATAAGGGTGTCGGAATCCTCACTAGGACTGCAAAGCGGGTCGAGATTGATTCCAAAATAACATTCGGATGACCCGTACATGGTGCAAACGAGGGGCAGGGCGTCGCTGTAATAATCTAGTGCAGGAATGTACTGAGACATGGTACCGGTAACAATAACATCTATATACTTAGTGTTAGGCCACAGTCTGTTTATGATCCCTTTCCATTACCCTTTGCTACATTCTGCTTCTACAAAATCAGCAAGCTTGGGGTTCGGTTTCAAGACTTTCGAGATGGCTTCCCTTACATTAGGATCGGTGATTTTCGAGTCGATAGTTCCTGTACGAATATCTCTACAAAGAAGACCCCAATGTTTTTCGAGGAATTGGATTGCTTGATTGAAACCGGAGGCGAAAACGGAGCCGACCCGAACGACTTCTTCGTGTTGCCTAAGACCACAAAGCAACTGAGAATACATGCTCTAGTAAGAATCTAGGCAGAGAATTGTTTCGTTGGGGCTCGTATAATTGGTGTAGGGATCATTAGGCCTATCCTTAAAATGTGAGCTTTTGTAGTAACTCGTTAAAACGGGACGAGCCACGAGTCCACCCGGGGTCTTAGCTTCTGATTTCACAAACAAGAAATACATTCCCTTCCCTTTATCCAAACCCGGAACGAATTGACTCATCACCGGCATCAGCTGGCTGTAAAGCAACGATCTCCTCTCGAGCTCCTCGTCGATCGTCGGCATCAGTTTCCTCTCTCCGCCGGACGTACCCGAGCTAAAACCATTAAACAATCCCATGCAAACGTCACACTCATGATCAGTTCAAAAAATTTCAACATAATTCAATAGTTACATACCGTGGACTGACCTTGTTAAGAACTGGGATATGGGTTGGGAGCAAAGAATACGCCCGATATCCGGTTTCAAATCTTCGTACGTCACGACTGACACTATGAATATCAGGGGTGTGAGCGCTTAATGTCAAAAGGATGAGAGTTATCTTAGAACATATATTACCTTGTATTTATCCCAAATTCATAAAAAAAAAACCTTAATAACCTCAAATTAATGGTAAAAGCATTCTAGATTAAAAAAATCGAATTCATGGAAGCAAAAGAAGAAAGGATAAACGATTGAAATGTGTGGTGAAAGAAGGATGTAGGCCTTGTTTTGGCTAAACAGGCAAACAGCTGTTGTGTTTAACACATTCATAATCTCAGTCCAAAACACATTTTTGTATAGTTCATGCGTCTATGCAGTTTCCACTCACATCATGCGATAGCTTGGAAAGTAATGTGCATTTTATGAAATATGAAGTTGGGTCGAGTCGAATTTGGATTTAAGATAAAAAAAATCTTTAATCTGACCTGAAATAATAATATAATTCTCTTTTATTTAGTTAAAGATATTTACTATGATACTCATCTCTTACTATTTTTTAATTGGGTCTCTATTATATCCGATAAACATAATTTTTTTATATTTATGTTGAGTTAGATTCGCGGTTGATTTTTATCTTAAAATTCAAAGTAAAATCAAATTTACAAATATACTTTTAGAATCAAATCAAATTGATTAAAATTTGACATAACTCGACCTGTTACCGTCGTATATATATTTTTATCGTAGGTGTTGATACCTGTCTACATCTACCAACTGTTACTAAACCCTTTGTTTGTCAACTGCAATAGCATTTTTACGTATCCATGCCGGCCGGTCATTGAGGACTTTAGGTAGTCCGTCCGACTTAGTTGGCCACTTGGCCTGCATGGATTTGACAAAGATTTTTAATTTACGGCCCTGCATTACCTGCATATGTTGTGACAACAAGCTCATACTCCTGTTTCTCCCTTTACTTCTTTGATGATAAGCGACGGCATTAATCTCAGTATTGATCGTTACCTTTAGTATTTTTCATATATATTTTTAAATTATATCTTTGTTTTTCTTTGTTTCGTTTATTTTTTAAAATCATGTCTTTATGACACGTTTTACTCTACTTTTATAGCACATTTTATATGTCTTTTGGTACGTTTTCGGTCGTTTGACTATTGCTTTTGTTTATCTTTTTTCTCAGGTTAGATTTGACATCGTCATGACTGATCAAGATGGTGCTTATTTGATATCATGCTGATCTTCCATACTTTAGACCCTCAAATTGATTTAGATACGAAATTTGTATTCGTATATAGTTTTCTCACGTCGTTCGACTCTGATTTACGGTTTGTTGATGGTCTTTTAGTAGCTTCATTCCCTTTTATGGTTCGTTCGTTTGTCGATACAGTCAGATTTGTTCGTATCTATATTTTGTTCAAGTTTTTTGTTAAAATTTTTAACCTTTTCATTCTTTAATCCTTGTATGATTTAGGTAGTTTATTTTTTTCAATAGTTATAGAAAAATATATTGATTATATTTTAGTTTACGTTTATCTTTATGCTCGTAAACTTTCATTGTAATTTTGAATATTTTATATTTTTAATAAAACTAACAATTTTCTGTCAAAAAAAAAATTATATACTGTTTTAAATATCAATATATTTTAAAAAAATGAAAAAAAAATTGAATAAATTGGTCGTGAGGAGCACGTTGCTTTACATGTTTCACTTCATTGTCTGCCCGCTCCTCTAAAGTGTATGGTCGGCTTGGCACACAAATCAAATGAATAATAGTTATAAGTCTAATATAATAACAATTTTAACCCTTAAAACTTACATACTTTTATCATTTTGGTCCTATTTCAGAAAAAAAATCAATATATTTTTCTATTCATATTTAAAAAATGGATAAACTATACAGGTGTATCCTATGTTTTCGGTCACTGGTTAAAAAAAGGGTGGTTTTATTTTTATTTTTACAATACTTCGTTTGGTTTTAGTCCAAACATTATTGGTCATTTCAGTTCTATAGTCCTTCGACCGTTAACTCATTAACAAATCCGTGTGTATTCTTATGTTTCTTCTTCTTCTTTTTCAACCCAGACTTACGTTAATTGGTTAATGAGAGTTAACGTCCGAGTGACTAAAATTGAATGGATCGAAAATGCAGGGGATTGAAACCACTCTTTTTTCGAAGCAGTGACCAAAATCAGACGGACCGAAAACATAAAGCACCACCCGTATAATTTACCCTTAAAAATTCAATCAATTTAATCTATGAAATTTTCTTAATTTTTTGTTCTCCTCCCATTAATATTATATTACTTTCATGTTACTTGTATAATAACAGTTTAGCATTAACTTGTTTTATAGGACAACGTAGTTATTTAACTATTGTTTTGATCTGATAAACCCGTTTACTTTAATTGTATCATAAAAAAGCTTTAAATTGATAAAACTTTTAAATATAAAATATAAAATTTATTATATCACTTTAAATTATGATCAAATTAATAAAAATATATAAATTTTGAAGACTACATTATTATTATTATTATTATTATTATTATTATTATTATGCAAAGTCACATTAAACATCCATTTCAATTTTAACATTTTATAATAATATTTTAATGAATTAATTAAATTATAATTTTTAATAATAATTTACTTATTATCGAACGCCTAACTAAATGATTGGGGAAATGTACCAAACTATAAAACAAAAGAAAGAAAAGAAGCTAATAAATCCAGAACAGTAGACGCCATTGACTCTAGCTGTGAAGTCTTTGCCCTCGGTTTTCTACACATTTTGAAGAAAAATAAATGGTGAAGACGAAGTCCAACACGGAAAAAGAAATGATTCATCTGCCCTCTTCCAATGTGCTGGTGCTAAGTTCTGCATTCCACTGCTGTTGGCTGGAAGAAGAAGCCGAGCCTGAAAGAGACCTTCGTACAACATACGCAGGCTGTTTCGGGATCGGAAGACTCGGGGTTTCACTCCCGAGCATAAACAGCACATTCGACATGGTGGGACGCTCGCTCGGGTCTTCTTGTACGCATAACAGTCCCACATTAACACACCTGATATACTCATCTTCGTCGCAGGCTTCCCGGAATGACTTATCGGCTAAATCGAAAGCCCTGCCTTCCTTCCACAGCCTCCAAGCCTGCCACATTTCAATACTATAGTCCATAAACAAGGGGAAAAATGGTTATCTCCAAGCATAAATAATCCAACATGTATGCCTACTTACATAGCCTAGTAGGCTTAAGGGTTGTTCGGCTTGATAGAATCCTGTGTTCCTTTTTCCGCTGATGGTTTCAAGCAGTACCACACCAAAACTGAAAACGTCCGATTTGATCGAGAAAAAACCGTCGAGTGCGTACTCCGGCGACATGTAGCCGCTGCATTTAAACAAGTGGTTGATTTGAATTTTGATTGATCGATGCCATTTGTGTTCAAACAAGCAGGGCTTTAAGAAAACTTACTATGTGCCAACTACTCTCTCTGTGTTTGCCTCTACTTGTTTGCCTCCGAAAATCCGAGCCAAGCCGAAATCAGAAATTTTTGGGTTCATCTCATCGTCCAGAAGAATGTTGCTCGTTTTCAAGTCTCTGTGAACAATCCTCAGCCTAGAATCTTGGTGCAGATAAAGCAGTCCTCGAGCGATTCCGAAGATTATGTCCGTGCGCTTTTCCCAGTTCAACAACACGCACCGCGTTCGGTCTTGCACGATTATCATGCCATTGTTAAGCATTTCATAAGCTTACAATATATCTTTAAAAGATTCAGGTCTAGAGGCTAACCGAATATGAAGGAATCCAGACTTCTGTTGGGCATATATTCATAGATCAACATTTTCTCGTATCCTTTAACACAGTAGCCTAGAAGTCTGACAAGATTTCGGTGTTGGAGCTTGGCGATCAAAACAACTTCGTTCTTGAATTCCTCTAAGCCTTGGCCTGAACCTCTCGAGAGCCTCTTTATGGCGATTTCTTGTCCCCGTGGAAGGGTACCCTGAGTAATGAGAAGAGAATTTCGGATAATGCACATCTACAAGACTTAATTTTACAGAGATATACGCAAGCAATACCTTGTAAACAGGCCCGAAGCCGCCTTGTCCGAGCTTGTTTGCTTCGGCGAAGTTATCGGTGGCGATTAATATGCTTTCCAGACTGAAATGTGGTATATCTATATCTTTTTTATCATCTTCTTTGAAGTCATGTGAATTTATGAAGTCTATGACACGTCTCTCACTGTTGTACAAGCTCAGTTCCAGATTTCCTCGTCGATTGAGCATTTGTCTCCTCCTCGTTTTAACGTTCCAAGCAAAAGCTACGCACAAGATGAACAGCATAGCCGTGATGACACCTAGGAAGATCCAATATGGTGGCTTCTTTTTCTCCAAATGTCCATTGATAGATTCTAGACTTTCTAGTAGATTGAAGAACAATATATGAATTATAACATGAAAATCAGCTAGTGATTCGATTTCATAAACTGCTTCCTGAATTCTCACCTCGAGTGCAACTGGCTTGTGATGGATCCCATGTAGAGGGCGAATTGCAGATGCATCTACTTTTTCCATCTGGTGCTACATTGCAAGATGAGTCCGGCCAATCCTTGCAGTCTTTTGACGAACCGCAGATCGGCTCTGACGGTGGACGCCACTCGATTTCGACTTCATAAAACCATTTATCATCCCTCATAGAATCTTCACTGAAATTATCCTTTGTAACATGACACGAGCTGTTGACGAAAAATGGAGAAGACCGAGGGAGCTGCAACAGCTTTTTCATTGAATCCCCTGACCTGCATTTTTCGACTTGGATGGAAAACCTTCGTGTCTCCTGATCGATTCTACTGACTCGGTAGGTTCTACCGCTTGCATTGAAGGTAACCAGACCAGTGTCATATTCAGTTTGGCAGTCGAATTTGAAGTACTTCGGATCGCCACAGTTTGGTCGAGTGCTAAGAGGATAGGGAACGATGTTAGTGCCACAAATCCCACAAGTCCTGTTCTCTATTTCAGAAATCGGCACACGGAGATGGAGACCAATACCTCCATTTGCATATGATTCCTGAAAGTTTTTCAGGTCATCTGTCCAAATGCTGCAAGTACTATTACTCTCACCTCTTAGATATGCATCAGTTTCAGCAAATGAATAAGCTTGACAATGGCAGGTCTCAAGGCACTTGCTCTTGCACTTACTTTCATCGACTTCAATTACTAAATTCGGCTTTTGCACTTTTATCATGCTTAAGTTCAAGAACTCGTTGCCGTGTTCGCCGCATACCGGATATTTTCTTATGCACCCTTCTGAAAACTCTCCCTGATTCCAATTTTCCGGTGACTGTGGCTTGTAGCCCGGTAAACACTTGCAATGCACCACGTTTTTGTTATTGCAAGTACCAGATTTACCACAAACATCAAACACGCTACATCCGTCCGTCGGCTCGGACCAGTTCGAAGACCATTCATCCGTCTGATTATCCCTTCTGAAGAACCGCAACTTCCCATCGAAACCCATCACTAATCTGGTGTTGTTGTAGTTGTAGCTTTGGGTTTGGATTGGCATGTTACTGCAATTCTTTAAAATACAAGCTTTGATTCTACTGTTACTGTGCGACATTAAGGAAATAAGAGGCAGAATCTCATCGCCGATAACAGATAACCCGCTTGTCCAATACAGTAACTCGTTTTTAATGATGCTGTACTGGTTATCCACGTCTCTATCTCGCCGGAAAATGAAGGATCCCGATGATGGGTCGGTTTGATTTCTCCATGAAGTCAACACAAGGACTTCACTAATCTTCATACCAGGAAGAAATGTATCAGTAGGATTAAGAAAACTTTGCCAGACGTTACTAAAACCTTCACTTAAAACCAGATTCCCAGAATCCAGGAGCTTCAACATCCTCGTGGAAGGAGATGAAATGCCTGCTAAAGTGGTCAACGGTATAGTACGGCTACTTGTATCGGAAAGCACGATATTACCATCTTCCCCGATGCCGAAAACCCAGGCGGTGGTGGAATTAACTGGTTCATCCCTGTTGGCAACCCACACGATGGTCTTCGGTTCCAAGCCGTCGTGATACCAGATGCCGACGTATTGGTTGCCGTGGGAGCTTCCATTGTTGGGGGTGAAAAACCCGAGTGCGAATTTTCCGGTGGCGGAGATAATAAGCGGCACTCCCGAACTGTTAATCGGGCTGTCGTACGTTATGGTGTCTCTTGCGAAGCAAGGGGTGAGGCCGAAGTATAAGAAGAACGCACACAGGGAGAAGATACGAGTAAACATTTGAATTTTCTGCGTTTGATTAGCAGAGTTCGAATCGAAGAATACTTTCATCAGTGTCAGTTTGGTGTTTAGAAGCCTGAGATTGTGGCACGTTGACCCCGTGGACTCTTGTGGCCAAGCCCCACCGCATGTAAGGCTTTGCTTAAAAGTCGTTCAAGAAAATATAATAATAATAATAATAATAAACAAATGAAATATATAAACCACATGTTTTCGTCTATGAAACTTTGTTTTTTCTATGATCACTGTTATCTTTGTTTCGATAATCTAATTTAAAGTCAAGGACGATAGAAGATGTAATTAAAATAGTTATAAAAAATATAATATTTTTTATTAAGAGTATTTTAAATTTTTTTTAAATTTTCTGTTGAATTAAAAATATTAAGAAAAATATAACATTTTTTATTCTCAACTAAAAATTTATAGTCTACAATTGAAAAAATATTAAAAAATAATATTTTAAATTACGTTTAATCAAAAATAATAAATATTTATAATATTTTCGGTTGCGTTTCTTATTTCCATTCTTTAACTTAGAATTAAGTTATTTTTCATTAGACGATGCCTCGTTTGATAAGAGATTTGGACAACTTTCTTACTAATTTTACTTGATAATCATTGCAAAATCAATACCTCTATTAATCTCAATAATAATCAAATGGTTGTCCCTTGTTCCCATATGTAATGGGGTAAGGTGGAGGTAAGAAAGTAGGTTCCGTAGAAGACTTCCGAATTATGAAATACCTTCCGTGGAATTTGATCTCACTACCTCAAGATTAAGAATCTTGTGCTCTACCAATGAGCTAGATAGTCATCACCTCGATAATAAACAAATAAGAAATACAAATCATATGTTAGTGTCAGTAGTTATTAATCATTATATGTAATGTACATAATAATAATTTTAAGTTTTAATATTTATATATCTGTTAATTTAAAGTAATTCAATAAACTTAAATAATTTTTATTTTAAAATTTCATTATACAGTCCATCAATTAGTTCTTTATCATGAATATTATATTACTTTTTTTATTACTTTGTCAAGATAATAATTATTTAACAATAATTTATTATTGTTTTATGTAGAATACAATTTTATGCTTTGATCCGACAGACCTGTTTTATCTGATTGTATCGTAAAAAATGTTAATAAAAATATAATATTTTCAATTCTCAATTAAAATTTTATTAAAAAATATATACAATTAAAAAACTATTAAAAATAATATTTTAAATTATGTTTAATCAAAAATAATATATTTTATAATATTTTCAATTACGTCTTTCATTTTCATTCTTTAACTTTGAATTAAGTTATCTTTCCTCATACAATTCCTCGTTTGATAAGAGATTTGGACAACTTTCTTACTAATTTTACTTGATAATCATTGCAAAATCAAATACTCTATTAATCTCAATAATAAACAAATAAGAAATATAACTCATATGTTAGTGTCAGTAGTTATTAATCATTATATGTAATATATATATAATAATAATTTTAATTTTTAATATTTATATACCCGTTAACTTAAAATAATTCAAAAAACTTAAATAATTTTTATTTTAAAATTTCATTATACAGTCCATCAATTAGTTCTTTATCATGAATATTATATTACTTTTTTATTACTTTGTCAAGATAATAATTATTTAACAATAATTTATTATTGTTTTATGTAGAATACAATTTTATGCTTTGATCCGACAGACCTGTTTGATCTGATTGTATCGTAAAAAATGTTAAATTAATAATTTTTTAAGTATAAATATTTAATTTATTAAATTATTTTAAAATATAATAAAATTGATATAATGTATAAATGTTAAGACTACAATTATTACTATATCATTTAAATTATACTATTAGCATCCATTTGCACAATGTAAATTTTTTAAAATTTTACACATATTTAAAATCATTGGATTATGGACAATAGACTACTATATAATTGAATCTTATTTCTATATTATATATTATTTGATTTTTAAATTATTTATAGGGAAGTCTAAGGGACAACAATCTAACATAAGGCTAAAAAACGACGACCTTGAGACGCAATCGAAAATGTAATAAAAATCATAACATTTTAGATCGTACATAACCTAAAATATGATAAAAATCATAACATTTTAGATTGAGTCAACCTAAAATATTATTCTTTCTTGCTAACAATTTTGGTTGAACCGGCTACTTTGCTAGTGTTTGTCTTGGAATTTTCCTGGTTCTCTTTCACAAGACGTAAAGTGTTTCCGCGTTCAATAATAACTCACGCGGGTTCTATTTTTTTCTACGTAAAAGACTTTTCTTTCCCTTCACTAGTTTTCACCATACAACGTAGACTTGCTGATATAGCCATTTTAGGTCAAGAAAGGGAATGAACAAGTATTATTGAACCTGCAAAAAGAAAAAAAAAGGGAAAAAAATTAAACGACGTCGGGTTGGTATTCTTATCATTTTCTTATGCCAATTCTAAGAATTCATGGTTGAATGTTCTTTGCCAGTTCCTGTTATCCTTGTGGTCCTATGTCGTTTCGAATTTGGTTTATTCTGTTTTTGGTATTCGATAAGAATATTCTCGGAAAAGATGAATCGCTTGGAATGAAACGAGTGTCATTTTCATCTATGAAAACCAATTATAACTTGTAATTATCATACCCATTTTTCTATTACATTTTGTGTAGGGATGAATCAAGCGAAATTAGTGGATCCCTCTTATATTTTTCAGATAATTTTGATATTTTTCATTGATAATCGATTTTATGTCTTACAACTTTATAAGTTTATTTTTTAAAATTTTATAAATTCGTTCGTCTAATATTAAACCATGAGTATATTTTTAATTTTATTCATTTTTATTCTCTCGTATTATCTTAGGTTAAGAATAGATAAAATTAAGATAAATTTTATTCTCTCATATTATCTTAACCGCTTGTAATTTAAAATTTAGGGTTGTATACGGTTTGTTAGTCTATATTTTTAGTTTTCTTTTAACTTTTCTTTTAGATTTTGTGTTTTATTTTGATAAAGAATCTATTTATGACTTTCAAATATCATTTGATATATTTGAGAAATTATTTTTCTCTCTAGCCTAAAAGTTTTAGTCGCTTTTTTTTATCTATTTTCTTATATTATATCTTTATTTTTATTTTATTTCGTTTATTTTTTAATAATTATGTCTTTATGATATGTTTTGCTAAGCTTTTATTGCACATTTTCTCTATCTTTTAATACGTTTTCATTCATTTTGACCATTATTTTTGTTTATCTTTTTTTTCACGGTTAAATTTGATATTACCACGTATGATCATTTGATAACATAAAAAATCAATATAAAAATAACTGAACTAAAATATAAAAACTAAATCCGTAATTATATAAATTCAAATATTAATTATAGAATTCAATTTATTTGATGTGCACCTTGAGCTTTAGTGGGCCTTTTTTCTTTTCAGACTTGTCAAATCCTGCTTAACGGGCCATATTTCTATACCGCATTACATTAATTTATGACACGAACTTTTAAGTAATTCATAAATTATAATGTTTTTTATAAAGTTACTAATAGTATTCAAAATATAAAATATCATAAATTATATCAAAAAGAATTATAATCATAATTTTAAATTGATTATATAATAAAGATAATTTTTTTATAATCATTAAAACACAATTAGCAACTTAAGATCACATAAGTATCATACAAAAAAATTAAAATCTAACAAAAAAACTGGAGCGACGTGAAAAGATATCCACAACGCATAATAAGTATCTAAATCCAATTCAAGAATACAAGTCAAGAAATATCAATAATGTAATAAATAAATGGCATCTTGATCAGTGTGGTTATATCAAATCAACCCTTAGAAATATAGAAGTGAAAACAACAACCAAACGATCGAAAAACGTGTCAAAATATTGAAGAAAATGTGTCATAAAGGTAAATGAAACATGTCATACATGCAAACTTATTTAAAATACAAAAAATAAAGATGTAATATAGAAAATAAAAGGATAATAAAGAATATCGATGATTAACAAGTAACATTAAAACTGATATCGCCTTCGAGCAACAAAAATGAAAAAAATTAACAATGTACCAATAAGAAAAAACTAAAAGAGAAAAAATAATACTCATAAATTGTATAAATACAATGTTTATTTTTTTTAATGCGATTACAATATTTTTTAAATACATTATATTTGTATAATTATATTAAAAATAAGGTTAACTACACGATTTATCACTTATCTTTATATTTTGTTCATTTCTACTCATTTATTTAAAAAAAACATAATATATGGTCATTTTCGTTTATATTTAATGAAGATGTTATCACTTTCGTTTTTATTAAATTAAGACGTGATCACCATGAGTTAATTGTCATTAATAGTTAACATACTAGGTGACGTGGTATTTTGGTATAATCACACATTTGGTCCCAGTTATTTATATATTCTCTCAATTTAGTTATATTTTAAATAAATTAAAATTAATTTAATCCTCGAATCAAATGATGTCACGTGTCACTGGTGTCACGCACCATTCGATTTTGAGAACTAACTTTATTTTAATTTAATATATTTAGTTTTCACCAATACTTTGAAAAGTTAGTCTTACAATTGAATGGTGACACGTGACACAATATGTGGTACCAATAACATGTGGTACCAATGACACATGGCATGATTCGAATAGAGGATTCAATTTATTTTAATTAATTAAAAGTAGAATTAAATTGAGAGAATTATAAATAGCAGTGATCAAAAGTGTGATTATACCAAAATATTTAACGGCATTTAACTCGTGGTGACCACATCCTAATTAAATAAAAACGAAAGTGATCATATTTTATGTTTTTTGAAATCAGTAAAGAAAAGTGGACAAAATATAAGAATATGTGATCAACATGTAATTAACCCTAAAAAAATAAAGTCTAAATTTTTAATCCCAAATCTGACCCATTGGCAAAAGGCTTTGTTTTGTTGCTGTTGTTTGCGTTTTTTCTCCGGGATTATTCTAGTAATGTTATCTTATGATGATATATTAAAATCATAATTATTTTTTAATAAATATAATTAAATGTAAACAAGAAATAACTTTAAGTATAATTTAAAAAATAGTGATTTAATAATAAAAAAGAATTAAGGGAACATATAAGTGACTAAATATGTCATTTTCCCTAAAATATTTTTTTTAAAAAAATAAAAAAAACTTCATTTCCTTCCCAAAGCAAATTGCAACTGATAGAGTAAACAGAGCCGAAATCTAAAGCGTTCCGATACGTTACACCATACAAGTTATTGCTCTCACATCTACGAACCTGGCAATACGTGGTGCCACACTCTTTGTAATTCCACTTCTTATACGCACAAGAAAACCTAGACTAGCAAGATCATATTTCTTTTTCTCTTTATCTTTTCTCAATTTACAACTTTACCCCTATTCGATTTTATTTAATTTATATTTTTTTAATCTTAATATAAATCTAATGTCCACGGTTCAAAATACAATTCATTTAGTTTATCTATATCCACTTAAAATTAGGGAATTAGTTAATTAATTAATTCTGTTTCATTAACACTAACGGTAAAATATCACGCGAGTAGTGGGGTGTGGTTGGTTAATTGCAAAGGCAAACTTGTAATTTAGAGCAAAAGGTAAGGCTGTTCTTATATCCCACGGCAAGTTGTTTAGTTTTAAATTTATTCTTCTCTCCCTTCTCTCTCTCAATCGGCCTTTCTCTGCAATACACGAGGGAGAGAGAAGATTAGAAAATATAAACGTAAGAAATTCTCTCGAGAATACGAAAGGAAATTCGCTGGTGAATTGAGGGAAAATATCTTTTGTGATTTGGTTGAACGAGGGAAGGAGATGAAGAGCTGTGAGCTCTGCAAGGCGGCGGCGGCGACGTATTGTGAATCGGATAAAGCCAGTCTGTGCTGGGACTGCGACGCTGTAGTCCACGGAGCCAACTTCCTCGTGGCGAGGCACGTGAGGCGTCTTCTCTGTCACGCCTGCCAGTCTCTCACTCCATGGAGAGCCACTGGTTCCAGGCTCGGTCACACGGTCTCCGTCTGCGAGATGTGCGTTAATGGCGGCGATCGAGAAGAGAGCGAAGGAGAGAATGACGATGACGGCGTTCGCAACGACGACGATGAAGGAGATGACGTTGAAAGTGATGATTCCGATGAGGACGTTGAGGACGGCGATAATCAGGTGGTGCCCTGGTCAGCAGTAGCAAATACATCTCCGCCGGCGTCCAGTTCTTCTAGTAGCGGAGATAATTCCACTGGTGAAAGAGAAGTATCTAGATCAACAAATTTGTATTCGTTAAAAAGGTCGAGAGGAAATGCTCCAGATCTTCACTCTCAGGTTTGTTTCTCTTTTGATCTCTGTTCAATTCTTTACATCTTGGTTTCCCGTCGTCTCTCATTTTAATTTATTTTCCTTTTTCTTATTCAGATCGTTTAATCTCTTTCATCAAATCAAGAGCTAATAATTCTTTTCATTATTGTTCAACAGGACGATCCAGATCGTGTATCTCCTAAACGGAGGTACGACTTGCAGATCAAAAGAGGATGAAGCCGTTATCGAAAGAACAACAGTTCAATCCGGATGGAACAGTGCAGTTTCAGTCCGAAAGGCACGATTGAGTAGAGAGTCATTAGGAGAAAAAGGCTTAGTGCGTGAGAAAATCCAGTTAAGAACCTTAAAATTTGTTAGAAATTGTAATATCTTAGCCGTCCGATTTGAGTTGGTTTTGGCGTGCTATTTCTGATTCTCTAACCCATTCTAACTATAGTCGTAGATAGGAATGTTGACACCATGTGTAGGCCTGTAGTGTGGGTTTGATTGTACTAATAATCCAAGAAATTTAAGAGTGCTAATTACTTAAACAAAATGTTGTCTTTGGCTTCCGAGTAATATTTACGTTATAGCAGCCTGAAGGACTTGCTCAACAAGTAGTGGCGTTGCAGATAAAGGGTCTGTACTTGATTCGTTGAACGACATCCAATAATAAGGCTGCCTGGCTATCCATTATCCACCGTTTCACCAGTCCTGTGGGCGTCAGAATTCGTCAGTGAAATGCCATGAACAATCACAAGGCACGTATACCAATTACCAATTCGACTTTTCTTTTCAGAAATATATTTTAAGCATGGACAGAATTGTGCGTGTCAATCACTTTGCACCGCATCTTCTTCTGTCTAAACAAGCGAGTTGGGCCATGAGTGTGGTGCATGTACTCGTGTTATTGCCTAAAATGTTGAACATTTTCATCTCATGTGCCCCCACACGTCTTTTGAGTGTTTGTCGTAGCAAGTTGAGGTACCACCTAGTGCGTGGGTCATTTTTGTGACAGAGCTTTGGTCAATATAGGATGGTGGTTGCAACTGGGTCGAGAGATCAATGTCATCGGCTTGGTCCGTTTGGGTGGCTGATTGTCCCACTGCAGTTAGCATCCCAAACTGGACTGTGTATCCATTTGCCAAAGATTTCCAATCAGATTGCTCCTCCTGTTTCTTCGAATCTACCTTTGAAACAATCGTGTAGGTAAAAACATTCATGTTTCTTGGAGATTTTAGTTTTGCTTTTCCCTTCCAATTTTTTTTTCTTTAAGTGGCATAAGCTAATGCATAAATAAATATATCAGATTCAGTGGCGAATCTATAATTTTTTTTTAAAAAAAATCAATATTTTATTTTCTTAAAACAAATGTATGTATTATTTTTTCTCTCTTAATATTTTAAATTTAATTTAATTATGTTTTCAAAATATTGAGACGTACTTGATCTTGACGCCCATAATAGATTTACTACTTGATTAAATGACATTTTCTAGTATTAGTCTTGCAGTTGAAAAATATATTTATATATTATGTTATAGCTATCTTTTTTTAATTGTACATATTATTTAAAAAAAACCGCATTCATAAATAAAAAAATTGAACGGTTAAATATATTTAGTTTGTATTTTTATATGATATATTGACGATAGTTATAATTGAATTTAACTCAAGTAATCACTTAACAATCATTCTTAACATTGCTGTCAGCTTTTCTTTGTTTATTCGCAATTTATTAAAATATAATTAATTCAATATTTTTAATATGATTATTGATAATTAATTTATTAACCGATTAATTCAGATAATATATTATAAATATTTAATGTAAGTTTAATATAATAATAATTCCCTTAATTTAATTTATTATATTTACAAATATCATGATTTAAATTATTAATTTTGTTAAAAGATAATGTGATAAAATTCTTATATAATGTGGTAGGAAAAAAAGATCGACTTATTTAAAATATTAGGGAATTTATTTATTGAAACTAGTTGAAATACATGTTGACTAGTTGAATCATTCAGTGTCTTATGATTTGTAATTTTGTTATACTTAACGTTTTCACTGTATATAATAAAGAAAAGACGTTATATCTTTCAAACGTCTTGTAAAATACATTATAAATAGTTTGCACATCTTTAAATCGATATTATAAGAAGCTCTCTATTTTAGTAAATAAAATTTTCAACAACCTAAATAATCTAATTTTTCCATATATCATCTAGAAGTTATTATCATGACAATTTCACCTGAACCCAAGGTTAATATAGATACCTGTTACTTGTTGGCATGGGTTTTTAGGGAATTAGTTCTCTTACTTGTTGGCATGTGTTTGTCAACTTTTGTTCAAGTTTCTATTGAAACATGTGGCAGGGAGAAGATATTCCATGTTAGTTTAATAATTTATAGGCAAAATATCTGGGGAGCTGATGATATGATATGGTCCAGCACCACTATGAATTCAACGCAATAAATAAACAAATGGATTTGTATATTTTTGTTCTTTCTTTGGGTGCAAATGCAGTTGAGATTACAGCCGCCCACCAACTAAGTGTGTATTCGGTTCCGTTCGAATTTTTATTAAAAATTGAATCGAACCGAAATAAACTGATTTTTAGAATTTAAACCGAAATCGAATGATTAAAAAACCATATTATGTGAAACCGATTTTTTTGGTTCGATTTGATTTTTTTAACGATTCGGTTTTTTCGGTTCGATTTATCGGTTTTTCAATGAAAAATTCACTTGAAACTATAATTTTTTTTAAATTCTCTATTCGGTTCAATATAGAACAAATGGGTTCCATGTGAAAAATCTGAATCGAACCGAATCAATAAAATTGAGACTTTAAATCAACCCGAAAACCAAATCGTATAAAATCAAATCGAACCGAATCATTTTATTCGATTTATATTGATTTTTCGATTTTCTCAATTTCGTTGCGCAGCCCTACCACCAACATCAGTTGGTGGAAGCAGTTTTCATTTAATTTCCCAATTACCAATTAAATAACAATCATCAGCCCACATAAAATATGGTCAAGAAAAAGCTCGTTAGCTGCTCTAATCACCCGATTAGACTAATCAAAGACATTAGGCTTCCTTTATTAAATTGTATAGGGTCCAGTTGGGATGAAAATAAAGAGGATCGAGTGGCGGAGATTCGCCGGGGTGTGTGGGAGTTTTGTGGCGGTGGTTGAGCGTCACTTAAAAGATCTTCTCAACAACCGTGAGTTATTATGAAGGGTGTTTCATTGAGGATTAACGAACACAAGATTGTTGGTTAGGGTGTGAATTTATAGACGTAAAAAATTATAAAGTTTTAAAAAGATGAAAAATATAATTTTAATAGAAAATACAAATGGAATATCTAAAATATATCGGATTTAGAAAATTTCAGAAGACGACCATCCCTTCTTTGATCTAGTTAGATATTTTTATATTTTATTTTAATTCATTTTAAATTTTTATAAATTTATCTCTTAATACAAAATTATTAGTTATTTTTAATATACATGCAATGGCGAAACACAAGCTAAACTAGAGGAGTCATAGCCCTCAAAATTTTAAAAATTATAATTTAGACCCTTAAATTTTAAAAAATAATTTGAATCCCTAAAACTTTTTAAAAAATCAGATTAAATTTTAATTTTTTAATATTTTTAATTAAACCCACTCCCATAATTTAAAAAAATCTCATCAAGACTATAAAAATGTAAATAAATAAATAAACCCTAATATTTTTAGGAGAAACTAAAACCTTCAAAAAATTTAATTTAAATCTTTAAATTTTTTAAAATTTTCAATTAGCCCGTAAATCCCGTCACCAAATTCATCCAATGTATACACGTGTATATAGTTTTCTGGGTTGTTCTATGTACAATTCACCGGTTGACTATGGTTGTAGCTTTTGAGTGACGGGGTCCTGTCTTGTAGTTTAGTTTTAGTTCAGTTGGTAGAGTACAAGGGTCTTTTTTTTGGGTCGTGGGATCGAGTCTTACGGAGGGTATTTCATAATTCGGAGATCTCCTACGGAAACTACTCTCAACCTGACGTTGGGGGCAATCTACTATCTTACGTCCCTATTACCCCATTACATATAAAAATAAGAGTCGGCTAACTTGATGATGGCAGATGTATAACTTTATAATATTCTAAAACTCGAAATGGAAGCTGTTCATGGATAAAACTGCTTTATTTAAGGAAATAATAAGAAATACAGATCTTTGAAAATCAATTATTTTAAATAGTAGTTGTTAAATTCATCTCTAAGTACTAATGATTTTCACGAATTATATTTCTATTCAATAATAAATTGACATTCTAAAATTATAATCAATTGTCGATGATGTCGTTAAAATTATGAAAAATTATCAACAATCTAAATATCAAGGATCAAAACAGAATGTAAAAAATTTAATTTTGCCAAGGACTAAAATGAAAAAAATGTGTAAATCGCGATTTTGGGCCATGTTATTTTTCCTTTTTTTTCATCTTTGGCACCATTGGTCATTGTTTTCTTTTCATTTTAATAATTTTTAATATTATAAAATGTTATTTATTTAAAACATTTTATAATCATTAATAATATTTAATAATATATACATTATTTAGATTTAAAACTTCTAAAAAAATAATTCTCTAATTTACTATTGAGTTATTTAATGAGTTCAAAATTTTATAATTATTTAATAGAAAAAAAATCTTTATGAAACAAAACGTACTATCAACGTCAGGTCGAAGCAAGTCATCCCGTCACCTTTTTCCACCCTCGCCATGTTTACCCTACTTTGTGTAGCAAAAGTACATGGTGTAATATCAACTTTCGGTTAAAGTGGTTAGAAATTCGATATTATTTAAGCATGTCTCGAGTTTGAAATTTTATATATTTAAAAAAAATTGTTGGAAGATTCACCCATCAAAATCAGATGTGCAATATAAATTGATTTGTATTAGTCAGGGCTTCAGAATCGGGAGAATAATAAAAAATGAAAAAGTGCACAGTAAATAATTAGAAAAGTAAATTGCACAGTTCTGCATTGAACTTTATTCTCTCTCATATTTTACTCATCGTACTTTTAATTTTTTTAATTTGCTCACTGGACTTTACAGACTGAATCATTTTGATCACTCTGTCGTTAACCTTTTAACGGTGTTATGACATGACACAAGCATCAAAACGACGTCGTTTTGAAAAACTCAAATATACACCAAAACGACGTCATTTCGAATCATCTTCTTTCTTCCCATTTTCTCTTTACTTTGCAAATAAGGTTATCGGTTGCCGCTTGCAGCCACAATCTCATTTTTCATTTCGGTCATTGTCTACCGTTGTTGAGGTGATAGTTCGGCCTCAAAATGCATGGGTTGCTTACGAATTTGGTGATTGTTTCACTGAAAAATGTCAAATATTTGTGAATATTGACTGAAATGAATCAATTTCCTCACTTTCAATCTTCAATCTGTGGACTTCGGAGCAGGTTCCGACAAAATGAAGGTCAGATTCATACTCAAAATGTCGAAGCGAAACGACTCATGAAATTTGAAATCGAACGACCACTATCCATGACAATCAACGATGACTAGCGATGACATCCGACCACCTTTTATTTTTTTATTTTATAATTGGAAGAACAAAATAGGAAAGAGAGTAAAATTCAGTAATTAACAATGCAATTTACCCTTTATATTAAATAATAATAATAATATGACACATCATCACAACGTTAGAGAGATAACGACACCTTAAGTAAAAATGATTCAATCCGTATTAGAAAAATAAAAAATAAGGTGAGTAAAATAAGAGTAAAAGTAAAACTCAATTAATACCAATATGATTTACTCTAATTAGAATGTCACCAAATTCTGTCATTTGTCAATGAAAATGTAAGATATCTTTGGATTCAATGAATTACGACGATGGAAAAAGGGAGAGTTGGGAGATATATCACATCCAACACGTCAAACCGGAATAAATAATTAAATGTGACGTCCAAGTTGTGATCTTGGACCGTATTTTGATGTTAAAGTCCACATGTATTTGTTGTAACTCGGGAGGTACAGAGGAAATCAGATGAGATTATTTAATATATTCAAATAAAATCAAACAGTTTAATATTGTCTAAAACAATAAAAAGAAGTAAATTTTAAATTATTC